ATTATAAAGTTGTATCATCTGAAATGATAGATAGTTTAATATGTGTCAATCTAAAATTATTCTAATTTACATTTTTACTTTAATATCATGTCATTTCCTACACAAAAATGTAAACATAAATTATTTATCGAACAATTTTTTATTTTGTAGGGCCAAGTGGGTTGGGCTGGCATGGCCTAGCATTTGCCAAGCAGGTGGACGGTGCTGAGCCATGGAAACTCATCATGCTAAACTTGGCTTGGCGAACAGCGAAAACATGGGTAGTGCGGGAGCAGCCCGCTTATACCCCTACTCTAACACTGAGCTAATCACACAAAAGAAAATGACTATATTGGGAGGAACAAAGAATGGAGAATTCTAGTATCACTTGAGGGTTATAGCAAGCTTCATTTTAACATTATTGTTTCTCTTAGTTGAGTTCCCTATACAACTAGAAGTGAGTGAGGTCTAAACCCTAAAAATCAATGACATATGGCATCCAGATAGAGACATATAAAATCAAGATCATAAGCAGTTGGAGGACAAAAACATGGATCCAACAATTTAACTGAAACCCCTATGCCCAAGAATGTAACTTTATCATAAATGCTGCTTCAATTAATATTAAATCGATTATCATGAATCAAAAGTCTGGAATGTTGATACAAACAGATATTACAAGTATATGCTATATATTTTTAAGAGAGTAAATCAATATGCTTTCCAAGTTCTCTTTTTGTTCGTTTGAAACAATTTTTTCATCATCAAGTTTTCCATAGCAATTATCATGTTATTTACGCATGTTCCATTTCCTGCCAATTGCCATACAGATTTCCTTAGGAATTTGTGAATCTTTCCAAGTAAAGTACAGTATAAAGATGTTGGGATTTGACAATGGTTAACTATGAAAACAAAATTAAATTTATACTTGTAATATTCAGTCAGAACTAATAAAAACAGATCAATGAGAAATTGCAATAACCAAACAGAAAATATAAAATATGCACATCATACCTTTATAAGCAAAGGCCGTGCTTCTTCTACAACAGAGGAAACTCTTTCAGCCAATGAATAGGTTTTTGCAACGCCAATTTCTTCCACTTCACGCCCAATGCGAGTAAATATTCCAACTAATTCATCTAAACTAACCCATTGGTATCCCTTTATCTTCTGTTTATCACACACAATCAAACCTTCTTTAACGCAGTCTGCATCAAGAGGGCTCACTGAAGGTGTCAGAATAGGATTACGCGGTGTAATATCAATCGTAGTTTCCATGAGAAGACCTGACTGGTTCACCTCAATCAACGAATTTCAAGGTATTATAATTTTATCATCTTCAACCTACAAATGCCAACACCAAGGGCCGTAAAACCACATTGTCATGAAAAAAAGAAATCATGAGATTCAATTTTGCCTCATCTCAACTACTGCCTCAATACTCTTCAGGGAAGGATTGACACGTATGACGTTGCCGACAGTTACACCTCTTATCCTAACAGGTGTACCGGTGCACATACCACTAGCCTGATCAAATTCAAACACGGCTAAATACTTCCGGAACTTTGATCGCAACTGAAACCCTTTCAACCATGCTAAGCTAAGGGTCAAGAGGACTGTCCCTGAAAGAAGAAACAACCCAACACCACCGTCCCAAATGCTCCTCCTACCGAACCCAAAATACCCCAAAGGCCTCAAAGTTTGCCTCCAAATGATTCGAGGAACATCAAAAACTACTGACAGTGGACTCTTTGTTTCGAAAGAAGATGTGGGTTGCTGTTGAGTATGATCTCTATGACTGTATCAGCAGATGACGTGGCTTTTACACAGAAGACGTTCCTTTTATGTCCTAATGGAGTTTTCAGGCATGGTGAAAATTTCAAAGAACACAGTTTCTTAGTGGGTATGATCAAATATGAAGGAAATGCAGCAGCAGTGGAGGAAATATGAATCGGTGGTTATCCAAACATTTTCCTTGTACAGCAATATTGGAAAGTTGTAGATATGCATGCGTACACCACAAATGTCAGCCGGAATCGGATTTCCAATTTCCCAGCAGTTGTTGGAAGAAAGATGAATAGTGAATAATGCGCACGGAACCTAGAAGTGAAGAACATGTGCAATCAAAATCAATTTCTCAGAAGCTAGCATTAACATATACATTGTTGAAACAATAAGAATCAAAGAAGTAGAAGAAGAAATTATCAATTTTACTT